ATCGTCTACTGGTGGTAAAGCATTGTAGGCTTCTCTAAACTGTGCACTAGTAGTACCTCCTATAATAAACTCGTCTGGAGACCTCGTCCCCATTGATGGTCACCACTGCGTGCACTCCTCTTGCTTGATCGCGGTCTGGTTGGAATAGAACGCCTCTCCGTTGCTCTGCTGGTGGCTCGCTGCTGGGAGACTTGACTGAACGGACACATGGCTTGGTGGGCCCGCTACGGTGCGAGCAGCGGGAACCACGTGATACGACTGCAAGGACTGATCCGTTCGCACCACAGGTACAAAGGCTCCGTCCCTGGTGAGTTGAAAGTAAGCTGTGTTGTTACCAATGGTAGGCTGCTGATGGTAGCCGCCGCGACCACCTTGGAAGCCTCGTCCACCATGGAAGCCGCCGCGRCAGCCGTGGAAACCTCGTCCGCGGCCACGGCCTCCGTTCCTTTTATTGCGTCTATTATCTGGACACTCGCCCCAAGTGTGGGCTCCATTGTGTCTGCACATCATACGCCTTCTTATGCTGTTGTTCACGCTTCTCGAAGAAGGACTTGCCTTCCTTCTTAAAGTCTTGTTTCCTAGTAGAGCCGTTGCCGTCGGTGGAACGCTTCCGTCCACCGTCTTCATCGACTACGCCCTTTTGATCGTTCATGTACTTAACTACGTCCTCAATGGTATCCTCTAATAGGTCCCTACCACTGAGTTTATACCCAGTGCGCCAATGGCGGGGGTTTAATCTCCATAGCGTCAAGCTCTTTACAAATACCATGCAAGATATTTGCTCTCTCGCAACACATAATAATTCTATCGGCTTGCGCCTGACACGAGATGCCAGGAGGCTTCTTAACCTCGTCTGACTGTAAATATCTAATAACATTGTCACGTGCATCCTGGTCAGGCGCGTACTTCTTTCGGTAGGCCATTAGGGCAACACTCCAGTCCACCAGACTCTCCCGATCGGTCTTAAGGGGTGCATCGCCTTCCCAGAGCTTGTTCCACTTCTTCCGCGGCCCATGCTCCAATACCATCTGTCACTTCCGGTCAATCTCCGTCTCAGGCAACTCAAGGTCACTCATAGCATCAATGAAGGCTTCTTCAACATAGAACAGTTCCTGGACGCCGTAGTCACCGGAGAACTTGACACAGCTGGCAGTGAGCTTCTTCTTGTCCTCCTCATTGGTACTCGCATGGATCATGGTGAGTGTTACCTTCTTMATCTTATCCACTTGGAAGGGGTTCTTCARKGAGAGACAGGAGAAATGGCTTGGCTTCATTTTCGATGATGTGTATACTTCACGTGATAAMGCGGTTAGTAATTAGTGTGCACGAAATAACGTGTACTTGTAGTAGTAGTAGTAGTGTTTATTAGATTGCTCTAATTAGTATTGTGAGACTAAAACTAATGAATAAAGTATCACTCGATGAATCCAGCTCCYCACACGCTTTTCCGTGTTATACTGGATTCAGTGAGTTATGATTGAGTTAGAATCGATAGTAGAAATATACATCCAAGCAGTACTGATAGATCATGAATTCAGTTCCTGAGTTCTCGGATGATGTAGGACTTAGTACTGCTTGTACTGAGTGACTTTAGAACAGAACTCCCAATCGATTAGTTCTGTTCTGAATYCTAATTCTCGTTCTGAGAATTAGTGAAGAGGAAGTATGTATATACAGTTATATACTGATCTGTATATATTAGTGCTTCGATTCGTGTAGTATATATATATAGTACTCGTGTACTAGTACCAATAGTACTAGTGGTACTATATAGTTTTCGGTCGGTATATATATATATAGTTTTGGGTCCAGGGGACTCATGATTGGATCCACGAGTGATCCTCCGTACTGTTCCTACGGTATTCGTTGCAAACACTGCTGTTTGCACGTGGCAATGCCAGCTAAAGTGGTGTGCCTTGAAGGAGGACCGACAGTACTGAAGGACAAGGATTCACTGTTCAAACAGCTTTTCAAAGTTGTGGCAAAGAACCTTAGAAGTTACTAGTAGCTCCAAGATCAAAGAACTGGGAACAATTGGACAACCTATGATAAGATCTACACTTTTTTGTTCCCTTTGTCGTAATCTTGTGGAGCTTGGGCTTGTGCTGTCTGTAGGATATCAGACCGTGGGTATGATTCATACATAAGACACACACATAAGATACGTATATACAATTCATACACACCATACATATATGACTCACGCAATCCCACTGGATTCATATGATCAACATGACTCATTTCATTCATTTGCGTGAGTGACTCGACTCATTCGATTCACACATCACTCGATCCTCACAGTGATCCATTTTAGATTTCATAGTTCGTTGATCCTCGATAAGAGCATCGACTCACTTTTCTTCTAGCACACACTTTACATCACTTTTAGGACAGTCACTCCCACAGTTTTCTCGTCTTAGGGAGGAATGATGCAAAAGAGACAAGGGTGAGCTTTTGTTCTTGCGTAGCTAATCTTGACAAGAGTGGCCTAACGCTTGACACCAGTAACTCACATCAGGCCTTGACGCTTGACACCAGTAACTCACATCAGGCGGGAGGATGACCACCCACAAGAAGATATGATCCTGCTAACAAACATATTTTGTGTGGTGGTGACTGGATCAACAAGAGTGGCATTAGAGTCACTGTTATTGCAGACAGCAGCAATGCAGCAGACTATCCTATACCCCTGCAGAAGATGAAGACAAACACATTCAGTAACCTTTTATTGCAGGAGTACTAAAAACAGAGGGTATATACCAAGATAACATACTGATTGAAAACACCAGTATCACAGCCAACTGTATCAAAACAGCCGGAATGGCCTCTGAAGAGTTTGTGAAATACATTGAACACAATGTAATGAAGCTGCTCTTTCCTGAAGTGGAAGATATACCTAGAAAATGAGTCCTCTTGATTCTTGACAGTGGTCCTGGCAGAAAACACCTGTCATTGCTGAAAAAACTACACGCCAAAGGATTTTACATCCTCCCTGGCGTTCCAAACACAATGCATCTTACCCAGCCAACAGACATGAACTAGTATGGGCCATTCAAGTCAATGCACCAACATAATTTGGAACAGCTGGTGGTGTACTGACTGAAACGCAAAGTTAAGGTGGTGCGTCAAAGTGATATTCCACTGCTGGTCTTTGGGAAACACGAAAACTGGTATGAGCCCATTGCGCTTGAGTGTTCTTTCCATAAAGCTTTTGCAGTTGCAAAAGCAAAGGACATCTTGGCAACAATTGGGATGTCTCTGTTCACAAGACAATTTTTCAAGATCAGAATGTTGCACACAAATTTATTATGCTCCCAGATGGCACCATTGATCTTGATGCGGATCCAAAGACCACATATCTCATTGAAGCAGAAAAAAGTACATGCTGGTTTTGATGGAGAGGTCTACAGGAAAGATCCCCCAAGGCTAGCTGCATCTGCAAAACCAGTGACAAAGATTGGCACATGTGAACGGCAAGAATGAAATTACGAATACCAAGTATTCAAATGAGCATTTTATTTTAACCAAAGATGACATACTAAACAGTGACGACTATTTTTTGCTGAAGCAAGGAAGGAAACAAGACAACAGCAGGTTAAAGACCTAGAGGCAGCAAAGAAGAATTCCAATGCAATGTCTAACTTGCATGCAAAGGTTACCAGACTGATTGAGGAGTTGGTAGCAAAGGAGAAGTACTAGACTAGTACTCCTGATCTGTGAACATCGGAGATATGTTTTGGTGGTTTGATCAGACAGGGAAATACCAGCTTACCACACCTTGTAGTAGTCGAATTTTAATACTTCGAAGCAAAAATAATACGTAGTACTTCTAATATGTTGTGCAGTGCATATTAGCAATTGCTGCTTTCGTTTTGTTCTCATCACACGGTGGATCGATCCGTCGCATACATTTCATTTCAACGCATTGCATCGCGCCGTTTCGGTTCGGTGCCTATTGGTGCTCCCCCTCCGTGCTAGTCTCGAGCGGCGGTCCGTTTGATACAGGAATTATGCCGTACGCATTGAGGGCGGGATGCGACGTAAAATAGTGCATCTTGATGTGCTTGATGTTCGTCGTGTCTCGGATCGCGGCTTCCCGATAACAGGCGCGCACGAACTTGAGAAGGTTGGGATAATCGCTGCCAATGCGTTTGTGGCTCGTCTTAAAGTATATGACATAGACGGGATCGAAGCGCACGAGCGTACAGTATAGGCGAATGTCGAGCCATGTGAGCGTGTCTCCCATCAAAAAGGTGTGGCCTGATTCCCCAAAGTGCGCCTCGAGCTTGTCCAGTGCAGCAAAGAGCTCACTGTGCGCCGTTTCGTAGGCGGACTGCGACGTGGCAAAGCCACACTTGTATACGCCGTTGTTGACAGCGTTGTAGATCAGCTCGTTCCATTCCTCCGCTTGAGATTGCAGGTCTGGTGGAAAGAGGTTGGGCCGGTCTGTGTCCTCGCCCTCTGAGCCCAGCAGATTGCAAAAGGCCTCGTTGAAGATCTTTAAGATTAGCATGGATTCATTGTTGACAATTGTCTTTTCTTTCCTATCCCAGAGCAGTGGCGTTGAGTATTTCCCGCTCGTATCCCCCGCCATTTCATATAGATCGCGGATTGTCTTCGCGCCGTTCACTCTGTCGGGAATCAGGGCGTCGTCGCAGTCAAAGGAGCCGTATCCGTTCGAGTTCTGAACGGGGGGATCACCGGGATTGGCAAAGTGCCATCCGCAATGTTCATCGCCCTCGATATCCGGCCTCGTCCTTCTCCAGGTAGGGTGGACGACTGAGTAGCCAACAATGGAGTCTAGACCCTTGTGCTTCAGAGCTGCCAGGGTTCCTGCAGCCCAGGGGCAGGCGAGGGCAACATAGAGATGGTAACGATTGGCTTCTGGCTCGAATCGACCGCCTACTTCGATGGTCGAGGTGAAACTGGACGCCGTTCGCCTGAAGGCCCCGTCGTCGTCGATTTCGGAGAGAGCCGTGTGGGCGGTGGTGCTCTTGCTGCTGTCACCGGAAGTGGTCATTTTGCGTTGTGTGGTGGCGCTGCTGCTTCTTGTTCTTGTTGCTGGTGTTGTAGTAGTTCCTGCGATGAACGGAAGTCGGTAGCCGTAAGATGGAGGGAGGAAACAAAGGAGGGATGTGTATCGTCTAAATATGCTTCCCACATTCATTCTTTCTGTTCTGTTGTTTCTGATGACAGACGTCTACTCGTAATAGTTATTTAAAAAAGAAACACGAAATCTTGAGAGTTGGGGATACATATTGCTGGTGGTACGGTAATTCTACCTTAGTAGGAAGTGATTCAGTGATTCAGTGATTCATCATCCAAACAGAACTCGTGGAGTGTACGTACATATATTTGTACGGACCGCAAGTCGTAGCGTGCTGTAAGTAAATCTAAAATTATGAACCCTGAGTAAATCCTCCTTCCACCTCGATATTTTCTCATTGGACTGGACTACCGTACAACGAAACGAACCCAACAGAATGCAGTCGTGAACCGTTCCTACAAAGATAAGTCGCCGATCGGAGCGGAAAGTTCCTAATCTACAAACGTATTTTGTTCATTCGTGGTCTTTTCATCCCTTACTCGAAGCAGGGGTTATGTAATCCAGGATCTGACGACGAGTAGCAACGCACATTTTTGGTTCGCACATTTTTGGTTTCTGAATTCTGACTCATTTACTCAAAGTACTGTAGTATGAGTAATATGTACGAAGCAGATGAAGAGTTGGTCCAGGAAAAAATCATGACAATGCTCCAGAACTGTATCATATCTTTCTGAAGTTGTGCGGATGGATCCCCTCCAAAAAAGTACGGTACTGGCACGAAGTCGTATGCGGTTCTGTACTCGTACCTTTACTATTACTACTGTACGAAGTAATTGTACTGAGTAGAACGATACGTCTTTTTTTAAGCCATATTTCTACCAGAAGCAGCAACGACAAAATCTGATGCTAGTACAGGCCGAGCATCTGTGATGGGTTTTCATTGATAATTGTTTGATGGCTCCATGATCGAGGCATCCTCAAACCTAAGGGAACTCTTTGGCGATAGCGACGACGAATTAGACGAGGTAGAGGAAACGGACGGGGACGACAATTCGTATTCTTCTACTTCCGCAGTTGCGTGCGTGGAAATATCAACTTCAGAAGATTCTAGAGGCACCAACAAGAAACTCAAGGTGACAAAGGACCCGTCACCGACACGCAGGGATGGTAATGGCCCTAGAAATGACAATTATGATTCGGTGTCTTCTCATTCTTCGTTATGCTACAATGAATGGAGTAAAAGGATCGGAATCTGCGATGACGTGTTGACCCCCGGCGAGTGCGACGAATTGATTGCCGTCCATGAATCGGAGGCCCACCACGGGTACATCGATCATTTGACGGTGACCCGTATTTCGGACCTAGTCGATCACGCCCCAAACTACAACTCCAGCGAGCAAACCCAAAGACACGATCAACAACAGCAACAACAGCAAAAGCAGCAGCGACAACAACAAGAACCTCTCCATAACGCGGTATACCTAGCCCTGCCGCTCCTGCGAGCCCGCTACGAGGTATGGCAGGCAGTTGAGGATTGCTTTCCGGAGCATTGTCTCGAGCTGCTGCCCGAATTTACGGCCCTGACGGCTTGGCACAAAGGCTCCTTCCTGGAGAACCACTACGACTCGAACCGATCCTATCTGGAGGACCGTTTCATCAGCGCCGTCCTCTATCTAAACGATCCAGTTGGCAGCGAGTGTGGAAACTGCAATAGTAACGACGACGACGACGCTTGCGACCTCCATCCCGAAAATTACCATTGCACCGGGTTCGAGGGGGGAGACCTTGTCTTTGAGGTTCCCGAAGGGACTTCTAGATTGGGTGCAAATATTGGATGCCAGACCAACGTTTCGACGCCATCTGATCAGACCCTCCAAAAGCATCAAATTACTCACCCAGAGAAGTCCACAAGAGTTGTCACCCCTAGAGCCGGTCGCCTCGTTTGTTTTCCCTCGTGCGGTAGATACGTTCACCGCGTAGAGAAAATCACAAGAGGTACACGGTACGCACTCACCATGTGGTTTACCAGGCGCGACGAGGCCATGGAGCGATTGCAATCGCTGTTTTTGTCGCAAGCCGCAGCCAACCTAGCACCACAACAGCAACCATGGGAAACCCCCCAACAGGCGGAACTCCTCCGCCGGCGAATCTTTCTCCGGCCAAAGATTCCCCTTCCCGACAAAAATTCCCTACTATCGGAAACCGAGTGGAGACATCTCATCGCTTATTGCTGGTGGAAAAAAGGGATACCGCTCTGGGAGATTCTGTCAAAATCGTTTACGACTGAGACGGCGATGACTGACGCCGATATTGTAGAAGGCCGAGTGTTTGACAACAGCAGCAGCAGGAACCCTGGTATCGCAATGAATAGCTCTACCAGGACCAAGCTCCAAAAATCAGAATCACAATTAGAACGTGTCGTGAGGGAGTGGAGGGACCACTATGTTAATCCGCGCCGGAATGGGATGGCTTCCGCCATGGCGCGCTGGAACGCCGATGGAATGCTCGCCACTTTCGTCAAGGACGATGAGATGAAATGCATTTGAAGAATGAATTGCTCTGAAACAAAGGAAAACATAAATTGCAATTAGGTGCAACGGATTGGATCGAACTGAACCGAACTTAATGATTCCCAATCTAGCCTATGGAAGAGATATTAATAAATTTAGGACCCATGATACAACAAAATCTCATAGGATGGATTGTGACATTGGATTGTCTCAACTACACCAGAGGTATTTTTTTCCTTCTACTATGAGGACAGCGTACTTGTTTTTGAGTGGGAACATTCTGTCAAGAGTTCAGAAACCACAGAGAGCTTCTGAAATAATATTACACGTATTTGAACGAAGAGTTGTTCGTAGTATTTTTAAATCGATTAGGTTCCTGTCCCCTTCCATCTAATTTGCCCCCTATTCTGATTCACTCAACTTAGGGGGTAAACTCGACTCGGAATTTTAATCTGCGAGAGCGACCCTGGCCACAAATATTACCGCACTTTTTGTGCTTTGCGCGCGACAAATTTTAATTTTTTAGTATGTCTTTCATACCGCACCTCCTGAAGGTTTGGCTTGGACGGACGGCACAATGGGTGATTCCCGTTACTCTAGATCTCTAAAACTCTAAATCTAGGGATCTGGAGTAACGGGAATCAAGAGAACCAACGGACAGACTGAGAGGATGYCGGCACGATGCCAGTCTTTTACGGAATTTGGAATCCTAATTATTTTTCAACGTAATGACTAAAAAGACTCAGAACGCGCGCCATGGTTCAAAGTAAAACATGAAAATTTCGATACTCAACTAGAGTAAATCAATTCACTCATTTTCAGCTTGATTCTCACTAGAGTAAAACATGAACACAGTTTCTGCTGCTTATTATTTCCGATTCGATACCAGGAAATGAATTCATGTTTTACGCTAATTAGTAGCCTGTGAGTTGACAAACACACTAAAAGACAACAGTTTCCTTCCAGCAAAACAAAAGGCAACATCGAACATTGACAAT